ACCTTCAGACTATATCTCCACAAAGGGCTCTTTACAAGTGTTCCTCCACAGACAGCTGAGGCCAGCAAATGACGGTGTGAAGGCAGCCCTCTCTGGAGAGTTTCATGTAATTTTATGGTAACCCCTGCCATAAGCAAAATGAGCCATCGCGCACAGTATCAGCAAACCAATTACAGAGATGAAGGCAGCCGTGGTGTCCGGGAGGGAGTTACGTGACTGGGATGGGTCCATGGGACATTGTGCAGGGAAAGGAGTTCAGTCCCATTCCTCTCCTATGAAGTCCTGCCTCAAGCTGATTTGCACAGCCCACAGCTTCTCTGAGGAATGGGAGAGAAATCATGGATTCGTGCTGGAAATGCCAGTGGGGCAGTACTGAAACAGGGAAATGGGAAGCGCAAGGTTGTGGTGGGAAGGATGCGGGAAGGGAGTCAGGGTACCTTCAAATTACAGAGCAGTCTAGGGTCACGTCACAGCCACCAGCTGGGAGAGCAGTGCTGATAAACCTGGGCTCACTAGTGCTCATGTATACAATAAATATTCAGACATAGTCAAAGTGGTCCCCAGGTGTTATTCCTTAGCACGCTGGTGAAAACACAGAGTGCAGCCAGCTTTGGGGTGATGCCTGTCTGCACCCAACAACATATCTGTTCCTGACGTGCAGTGAAAAGTGCTCATGTCCACCCAAAACCACGAGGGGCACATCAGGGATAGACTGATTCTCCCCAGCTAGGACAGGGGCCAGAACACCGCAATCCACACTTAACGCTGATAAAGATGATGCTGGCTGCTGGAATGGCTTTCTCTAGACATCTCCACTGGATTTCAGTAAGTTTAAGGGAAACACTGAAAACATCAAGCACTAACGAGCACTCCTAGCTGCACCCTGGGCTACCGACTTCAGCACAGGGTCACCTATTGGATTGCCAACATGTGCCGTGACAGATCACTTGTCAAAACAGGAGCTATTCCAACCACACGGAGTATGGGAGATCTGGCTGGAATTCAGCATAACGCGATACACACTACTTAAAATAAGGCAAAGTTTATCTCTGGGGATAAAGTTGCTAACTAGCAAGCAGGATAGAAAGGAGACATGCTTAGAACTGCTAAAACCACTGAGGATATACCCACAACACTGACCCAACAGCTTTTGTGCCACCCTGAGGACACTGACCTGCGAAGGCAGTACAGCCAGATGTGACCTGTGAGTCTCTGCTGCTCTGCCATGGCCAGGAAACCCACTTCTGGACACTGGCTAGCAGAGAACCGTATGAAGGAAGTCAGAAAGCCCAGGTACGAGCCCACCAAACCCAGCCCATAGTGCTGGTGCCTGGCCATGCAGCCCTCTCATCTCCTGGCAAGCACTCATCTGGTATATCTCATTTCAGTGCTTTCCCCCCAGCCCCACTGCCCAGAAAGAGGAAAGCTTGTTACATAAAGAGTTTGCTCTAGGGGGTTCTGCTTTTTGAATGGTTAAAAGGAAAAAGTACTTCCTTCTGGAGTGAGAAAAGGGACAATACAAAAAAGACCAGTCCAGCACCTTCATAAGGAAATGGTATTGTGCTTTTCGATAATAAGCTGTGCCTGTTCTGGGAATTGGATACAGAGGATTAGAGGTATTTCTGACCAAGTAATTTTGAGGTGAGAAGCCATGGTGCTCTCCTCAGAAGAGTTTATATTATTGGTATCTTTACAGACTTTCACACTCTGTAAGCTTAAAAATAACAGTGACTTCATGAATTAACTTTTAGGCAGCAAACACTCCAGCAAAAGCTTATAAATATTTTTTAGACAACAAATAAAGCTGTGCAATAAGCAAACAAATAGTAAAGTGCATTTGAAAGTCAACCTGATGATGGATTTAGAGGCTTAAAGCAGCTCTTTTACTGTACTTGTTTGAATCTTTAATTACACTCTCTTCTTCATCCCCAACAATCAGATGTGATACTGAACTAGAGAGCTTCATAAATCACATTTTGCTGGGTTTGGTGTCTTTGAACAATCACATATTTAACATATTTCAGGAAGACAAAGCAGTTTAAGTGCTGCTGAGCTTTGTCAAGTCAAACATGGAATTCTACAGGAAGTTTTCTAATTAGCTTTCAGGCTGACAGAAGCAACCCCTAAATACCACGGCAGTGCATGGCAGCGCTTGGCTGGGTGATGCTGCCTTGCTCTGGGTGTGCCTCTGGGCTTCATTTTTTTAATGACTGGCACTTCTATTTATAAAGCGAATACAAGGGAGTAGCTTAGAAGGGAACATTTCTGAATATGTTTCAGTGTACACAGATTTGAGTCACAAAGTCTGCTAATATAGAGTTCCTGGTACTGGCCCCTTCCATTTTATCTCAAGATAAGAGTCTTTGCTCCACCCATGGCAAAGTGACTGCTCCTGTTGCTGCACTGTGGGCTCTTCTCTCCTCTTAGCTGAGGAGTGGTATAAGCGAGAGCTTCCTCCTTGTCCCACTGTAACTTAACCTTAGCCATCAACAACTCAAACAAGATTTTGCTTTCTGTATTCAGTTCTTTTCCTGAGATGACACTTGACCAGACAACTCTGCTTTCTAGTATCAGTGAGCTAGAAGCAAAACCAGCAGCTGACAGGTACCATCTATTACCTTCACAGGAAAATAAACCTGGACGGCTTGGAAGATTAGTATTAGGGTACATGCTTCTGATTTGATGGTGTGAAATGAGCCCCAGGCTGGTAATAGTCAAAAGTAAATGCTACTGGTGTTCAGTATCCTCTGTAAAACAGGATTGATGGTTGTAATCATTTGCTACGAGATATACCCGCTTTGTAATTGCTAATCTCAGTGCTGTGTCCCAAGTTTAAACAGGCACATATTAGTGCAGAAGTTGTGCTATTAGCTTCTGTTCTCTGGTCAAACTGAGCATTTCACCCTCCAGGAATATAGTTCTGCCATCTTTCAGAGACTTAATTGACAAAAAGTTAATAGAATGGGGAGAAAATATATATTAGCTGAGGGTCCTTTAAGTGCCAGAGAAAGGACTTGGGTGTTGATAAATGAGAGGGAATTAGAGGACACACTGATACTGTGGTAAAGACACAGGATCATCCAGGTGCATGCTGGCCATGCAGTGCCAGGTGGCAGTGTTTTTTGCATCTTCTTGAAAATTGCTGTCTTTTGCAAAGGATCAATGCTCTGTGAGCTACTAGTTAGACTCCTGGATATTACAAAGATGCCACAGGCCATCACTGAAACTGATGCTCATGTTCAGATCATTTGTGCTCATCCATAGATAAATGACAGGGAAACAGCAGCAGCTCCCATTTGAGGCTGACCCGGGGTAAAGCCGGTGAGAATGTCTCATGTGCATTTGGGATCTCTTCATGCTTCTTTAGCGATGGTGAATCTAAACGCTTTTCACATTTTGGAAGAAACCTGAATTTGAATTTTAGTCTTTCAATGTACATATTCCTTTTTGGACCCTGGGTCACCCATGCATCGCTGGATGAGACATTTAACTGTTCCAAGTCTTGTCCTCTCCATCACCAAAAGACATTCCCACTCTGCAGGAATGCTGCGTGAAGCACTGAGTCAGAACTAAGGAAACGACATCCTTCATAAAACTTTTGGAGATGACTCATATAGGAATATAATCAAATCCTGACATCTGCCCAGAGATTGTTCATGTATTTGCCATGCACAGAAACAGCTGGCAGAATAAAATTCACCTAAGTCCTTAAACCTGATCCCAATAGTAACTGATGCAACCAGTAATGCACAACTTCGACACTGAAGAATCTACCACCACATCACGAGAGATGAGGGAGAGCCTGGCCATACCTCTCCCCTCTAGCCACACGTGGCCAGATGTTGAGCCCCACCTGCCAAAAGGGCTTCCCCAGCTGCAGCGTGGCCCCTGCCGTGGAAAGGGTGGCCATCCTTGCCTGCCACTAGAAAGACGGGATCATCAGGCATGAACTAGACCCGTGTTTTCAACAAGCATGGAAAAAAAGTCACTGACCATTTTAATTGTCTTGATCCTAGGTACAGGCACACATCAAAAAGGCAATGCTGCCCTCTGTTATGTCTTCAGCTACTCGCTCACTTCTGGCTGTGTACACTTCAGAACCAGCTACTCCCATCGCAGCTTGGCGCTTTGAATTAGCCTCAGTCAAATGACATGGAATAAAGAAAGTCAGGCTGGCTCCTGCAAGAAGCAGAGCACCTTCAGTTCCGCATGAGCTTCAGAGACTTAGAGAAGGCATTTTGCATTTACTAAGGAGAAAGTAATCTACTAAGTTACTGTAATTAGTTCTTCAAGTTCTAACCTTCATTCACTGTTTTTCACTATATAAATCAGGTATTAACATTTAAATAAAAATAATTCTATTAACTTTGTCATTTTGTATTAGTAGTATTTAACTTCATAAATTAAAACTAGATGAAACAGATTTGATTATCAGTTTAGAAGATAACTTTTATTTTATCTTTATTTTGGAGTGTTATCTTATTGATGAGTTCAATACAGAAATTTCAAGGCAATCATAAATACCATGTAATCATTCTGTATAAAACTGTATGAGAAATAAGTTTTAAAATGAAAATGTACTAACAACGTATTATCTCCATATGCCCATTTAAAAAAATAAATTATAGAATTAACAGGAAATAAAGATTATTCCTTATTCATAGTAGGCCTGACTCCCACACTGGTAATCAGATTGACTGTTAAATAGCTCCTCAAACACTTTTCTTGTACTCAGTGGAAGTACTTATGTAGGCAAATACTGCTGGGCCCTGGTAAAAGTGGGAGATTCAAAGGTTTATTATTAACAATACCCTCCATTGCTCAAACCCTACAAAATGGTTTCAACTGAACAGTCACACCACTAGTCGGAGAAAGGCACACATGTGATAAAGGAGAAGAATGAAAAAGCTTATTGACGTGTTGATACACAGCTGATAAGGAAAACAAAAACCCACTGAAAAAAAAACAACAGTTGAGTTTTAGTTGAAGTCAGAGCAGCATCTGGTCTCTCTTCTCTCCCAGCGACAAGAAGATGTTTGCAACAATGCTGAAGATATTTCCAATTCTAGCCATCCTGACAGGTAAGAATAACAAACTGATTGAAATAGCACTGGAATAAAGGAACTTGTTGAAATGAAGCAGGTGAGCCTGGCTAGCAAACTAGGAGAACATTCAAGATTTATTTTAGGATGGAATGAAAATCGTGGCTATAATGCTATGTCATTTTGTGGAAATCAGCAAGCTGACCACGGATTGGTAAGAGTTTTCTACTCAAGAACAGAATTTTAGCTTTGGTAAATTAACGTTTTGCTCTGAAGCCAGGAAGAGTCAAAGAGCTCTCACATAGACCATTGGGGGCTTTTGAGTGTTTCAAGGTTGGGTTTTCTCACACTTGTTTTTCGTCTCCCCTTGATAATAGCCCTGGGAAATGCTGCCTTGGTTCCATCCCCACCAAAATTTTGGGGGGATACTTAACTTTAAGCAAGTAAATAATCCTCTGGATTTTGCTAAAGTTAAGTGAGGACGTAATACTTTGTGGAATCTAGGAATTCTATGATATATTAAAGATTATATATTATTCATGTTTCAAGGACGCTGCATTGTGCTAAACTATTTTTAATATATACAGAAGCATGCATTTTAAGTCTAATGCTCCATGGAGGTGAACAGCCTCTGTATCCAAAAATAAAATGGAAGATAGTTTCCACACTTTCTTCTCTTGATGGAATTAGTTTGGATGCCATAGAAATATTTTAAATAGTTGCTCCTGATATTCCAATGTTGTCTCTCACACACATCCATAAACCCCACAGATTTTTGCCTTAGAAATTAAGAGCAATTCAGTGTTAGTACTAAAATTTTTCAAAATAGTGTCCTCTGATTTTAATGTTCTGGGTTTAAAACTAGCAGTGTGTCCATAGTGATGGGTGCCACTGACTGGGGGTTTCTGTAGTGGCTATAAGAAGATCAGCAAACTTGAATTTACTTCATGAGCATTAGAAACTGCATGGGAGTTCAGTGAAAGTGGGTGATTCCCAATTAACTGCAATAATGTTCCCTGTGGCAAGGAAGCAGTCTTAGCGTAATATTGATGAGTAAAAGACATCAACTTTTAACAAGTTGATCAACTACTTTTAACAAGTTATGGTCCTCTTCACACCAGCTTTTTTCACTGAGTTACTTCTTACTCAGGCACTTATTTTCATTGAAACCAAAAGGCCTGTATGTATGAAATGAGATTACAAGTCTGAAACTGTAAACAGTGAACTAAATGCGAAGCAAAACTTCTGTGATGAGGGAACAGGCTCTTCAGGTCCAGTTCAGTCAAAAGCTCCATCTTACAGTTAGTGATGGCTTTAAATAGCCTCGTTGGACAATGGAAGTTTGATGGGGTTTGGCTTTATATTTTTACTAGAGTGAAGCCTATTTCAACTAAATGTATTTCTTCAAAATATACAACTTCATGAAAACTAGAATGCTTTGTGGAGTCATTTCTGCTAAAATTAATTTCTTCCGGAAAAGCTTATAACAGCCAGGCTCCGTGGCACTCTTGACTCCAAATCTAGAGAATAATAAATGAAATACGTGGAGCAGATGACTGGAAAATTAAGGTTTTCAGTAGAATGACATTGTGTTGAAAGACTGTAGCTTTAATCCTACGAAGAGCAGGGAATAAATACATCTAAACTTGGAAGTATTATTGTGGCAAGAAACTATCATCTTCTGGCCAACTGTAATTCTTAAAGGCAAGAACAGTGAACTGAGATATCTAAAATAATATTACACAGCTTTTATATTAGATTTCAGTAAGGATTAAGCTACAATGAGCTCAACAGGATAAGCAGGACTTGCAGCCAGCACTGGGAACCCCTTTTTCCCCAAGGCAGGTTTGACACATTTAGGTCAGTCTCCAGCTGTTCCTGTGGGACTGTCTCCACCTATAATGTAACTCTTGCTGCAGTTTAAACCCACCAGTTCTCATCCTAGCCACCACCAACACAGAAAGTAGATTATCCCCTTTTTCCTTGCAGTGAGGTTTTACTAGTGAAGCCATCAAACAAGGAAAACAGACTCCAAAGAGTTCAGACTCTAGGTTCAGATAGGTTTGCATACTGTAACAACTGATAAATCTCCAATATTTACATGGTTAAAAATGTCAAAATAGATTATATTTATTTTTTAAACAATATTTTCTCTCATAGAGCTGATAATTTGAGCAAAATACTCTTTTGTTATTACTGAAGGTTCTGCTTAAACTCTCAAAAGCAGTGCCTGGATATAAGATGCATAGATATCTTGTAACTTGAGAAGATTGAGAAGAACATTTTGTATGGTTTTCCTCTATCATGCATACACGCAATAAGCCCATGTGAAAATTATTATTAATATAACATATGCTTTGCATAGAAAGCTCCGAAAGACTTATGTTTTCCATCACATTCAAAAGAAGTATATTCTCCTTCAGAATCTTTAGACAGTAGCTTTAAAACTAGACTCTGATCTAGCAAAACCCTGAAATTCAGACTTATTTTTCTGACAGCTCTGGCTTTGTTGCCATATGTCACCATTGCTAGTAACTTATATGGAGGACAGAAACAGATAAATACTGTAAGATGGTGCTCGATTGTTTTCACTAATATGGCTGTGTAGCCAGGGCTGATCAGAGCATTATGGGAAAGGGCTCACAAGTTATGTTTTCTTCCTTTCTGCTTTGAGCACAACAGAAAGGGTTGATGAAGTTGTCACAGAATTTCTCACAACCCACACAATAAAAGTGGTTCCAAAAAGCTTAGCTTGAAGTTTCCAATGTAAAAGCATTGGAAAATAACAGCTTCTGCATGTAAGCCCTAAGAAACCTAAACAAAAGCAAAGTAATTAGCAAAAGAAAAGTGGAGAAAGGCTGCTGGGGTCCAGCCTGGGGGAATCCAACAGTGCCACCAAGTTCAAATCAGAACATAAGAATGTAAGAAGAGGCAAGACTGTAGGAGATGGTGATCCACAGTAAAGATCAGACATCTAAGGAATAACTGCAAAAAAAAAAAGGGCAAGAAGGGTGTAAAATAGGGCTAGAGACAGCTGTGAATGAGAGTGCAAGGTGCAGGAGAGCACTGCGAGTGTAGAAGAAAGCTTCCATTTAGCCACAGGCTCTTAGTGAGAAGATAGGTCTGCACAAGTGAGAACAAGTACGTACTTTTTCAGAATATTATTTGTTTTAAGGGCACAGGTATTCTGGGGGATTTATTAGCTTGTTAGCTTTTACCCACTCCCAGCTTGTTATCATTAAAATTTCCACACAAAACCCAAGGGAAACTGTACTGAAAAGGAGAACAACTAGACACGTCCTACAGGTTTCCTCAATAATGCAGGGAGCAAGGCACTCCCGCACGGCTCCCAGGGTCGGCCCGGCTGATCTCTCCTCACCACACTTGCTGCCCACAGGCCCTGTCAGCGGTGTTGTGGTGACCGTCCCTGAGAAGACAGTGAATGTCACTACAGGTGGAAACGCAACCCTCCTCTGTACATACACGAGTCCTGGACTGCTGGGAAATTTCTTTATTCAGTGGAGCTTTTACAGCGCCAAAGAGAGACAACTGCTTACCGTAAGATATTTATTTATTATTCATATGAAGTTATATCTAAAATATCCTTAAGTCCTCAAAGAATCTTGTTATGTTTGATAGTGTTATCCTCACTACAGATCAGGGAGGCAGGTAATGGTGTTCCCACCCTAAAGACAAGGGACTAGGGTGCAATGAAATTTAGGGGCAGATACACAAAGTCATCTAGGCTTCTAGTTCCTATTGGCATGCCTGAACTCCTTTTGAAACTTATGAGAAGGTACGGAAGGGATTCAGATGCTCAAACCACTTACTCCAAATCACATAGGAAGCATGAAGCAGAGCAAAGACCAGGTGTCCAAAAATCACACAAGCGCTCCAGCCCCTGGACCAGCTCCCTTTTCTCTTGTCTGGCAGATATTTCCTGCCATTGTGAAGGCTGTTTTCCTGGTGAGACGCCCTTGCCTATGACAATATGTCCCCCATTTTAGGGTCAAATGAGAGCTCCTTGACTCAGCAGCTCAGTAGGAGGAGCAGTGCACAACAATAGGCTATCGGTGCAAAGTGAGCTGTGAGTATTTTGGCAGGACTCTGTAGAAATTTGTCATAGCAGGAAATCTGCCACAGCAAACTTGCGCTGGTATTTCACGGCATCCCAGGGGTGTCATTGTGATAGCAGAACAATTACAGATCAAAGGCAAGCGCTCCCTGCCCTTCCTGAGACCCCGAGAGGCAGCAGAGCTGAACCGCATCTCCCCCGGGGGTATCATGAGGCTGCATGGTAGGTTGGAGCATCAGCACAGAGGCAGCATCGGGACTGTGAAGGACACCAAGTACTAGACAGTTACGTGCTGTAACCACTGCCTGAGCCTCTCGTGGCTGCAAAGACCTTGCAGAGCAGCCTGGTCTGCCTGGATGGGAGTCAGGGATGGGATGGGTAACTTCTATATGTGCTCACACTGATGCCCAGACTTCAAGAGCTATCCATCAATCGTATCTTCTGGTGGGGAAATGAATCCATGAATCTCACTCCCAGCATAACATGCACAGTATGAGCTCCCATCAGCTCAGTCCTGACAGGTGCTGAGCAATCAGCAACACCTTCCGTTATAAGAAAAAATGCTGATTAGAAGTGTTACTGCATCCTTGAAGATGGCTGATTTTTTTTCCATGCCCTTGTGTCAGGCTTGTGCCTGTTAGACAACCAGTCCATTTTCTCTCCCACTGTTTTTATCCTGTTGCTAATATTTTTTTTTCCTAGAAGTTCAGTCCTCCTGCCTGGTATTACACTTGAGAATCAATGTAAAGAGATCTGACTTAGAAGAGTGTCACAGTTCCACACTGATGATATTCTTGTCATGTTCACCAATTTTGTAATAATATTATGTTAGGAGGTTTGCCATTGCTGATAGAGTTATATCTTCGGTTTGGTTTATCTTTTATATTATTTATAGCAGAATTAATCTGTCTGTAATCTGCAGAATGTACAGTATATAACATACCTGCCATTGAATGGCAATAGCCAGTATGTAAGAAATAATTTAACATAAGACAAAACAGCTCAACCTCCTGTGGCAGAGCCACAGATAAAGACTGTATCAGTGCTAAGTGAGCCCATCCCAAATTCTGACTCTAGCTGAATGCCAGACTGACACCTTGCCTGACTAATTGTATGAATAGTTGTTACTCATTGTTTGCTTTTTTCAAGTCAAAACTGTTGTATTAAATGAAGAATTATTCATGAAAGGGTGGTAGCTGCAGGTTTCCTAAGTGGTATATGGTACAATATATTATAATTTTGATCCAGCATGTTACATCATAAATTTTAATCACTTGTTCAGGTGGGAAGTACAGCACTGAGATAAGACCAAATCTCCAGATTTGGTTAGAATTTCTCTGTTTTACTTGTGTCAAATTTCCCATATTGCAAGACAATAAAGGCATAAATTTTCTGGTCACAAGTAAGAGAAATAAGCAGATTGTAGTTGCAAGTATTTTAGAGGGAGAATCAGGCAGTTTCAAGAGATCCAGGAGGGGAAAACCATTTGTAAACTGTGACCAATGATAAGAAAATACCCCCTGAGGATTATAATCATAAAATACTGTGGGTGGTTCAGAATATGCTCAACAAGATCTAACTGATGCGAGGCTGCCAAATGTCAGGGAAACATTATGGATCAATCTCTTCCGCACTCACTCCCAGCTTCTGCAGCTCCCACTGGAGGCAGTGGGAAAGCCCTGCCTATATGGACTGTAACAAACACTACTGTGAGAAATTGCATCTGGTTTTCTCCCACTCTGAAACCAATTTCATGGTAAATTCACTTTCACACTGTAACACACATGCATTTGTAATGGATGATCTGCATTTTCATTAAATAAAGTCAGTTCAATCTGGAAAGGCCATAGGTTAGTGACTAATCCCGTTCTCCTTCAACATCGAGGTAAAATTTCCCTTGGCTGCCGCGCCAGTTATCGTTGGCTCGCAGGCTGGGCGAGGCTGGGGGACATCCCCCGCGCCTCCGAGCTTGCTCATGTGCCTGGAGCCTGCATGTGTGTGAAAAGCTGCAGGACTGGGGCACTACTCCTCAAAATGCTTTTACCAATCCATTCAGTCCTGTATTACTTGACCCTGTATCCTTTTACCACAAAAGGGCAATCCCTTACCATTTTGAACCTATTCACAATAAAATTAATCGTGTTAATGCAAACACCGGGAAAAAAGGAGTGTGACTGCTTGGGGAAAATACAGTTTAAGAAGTTACACAACACAGCTGAACATTAAATTGGATTTTCAACTTCCCTCTGAACCCACAGCAACACGAGGTTGCTATTTCTGCTTCAGGCTGTGACTTTTCTGAGTTTCAGAAAGGACTGAGTGCCTGAAAGCACGCATGTTTTCCTCCTACAAGTTTAAACAAAAAATAATCTCTCTTTCCATAAACATGGCTTTGCCCTGCTTGCTTTGCACGTAACTGAAGTTTCACATTTGGTTCCAAGTAGGAAATATATGCATGGTAATGGCGGAGATTGCCAGCTTTGGACTTCATTGTGTAGAGAGACGAATAGTAAAATGCAAGTCAAAAATACATTTAATATGCTGGTAAAATGACAAAACCAACTGAATTGAACAGACTGGCACCATACCTCACTGAATACCAGAACAGTAGCTTGCATTTTAAGTGGGATAAAATTATTTCCTTTTATGAGATATTTAGATTCTTCTAAAAAGTCAGTAATAAACAAACAATCAATTCTTTATAACTAGCATATATTTCCCCTGAAAGTTTGTTGAAAATTCTGGCTCCGTTCAAAATTTGCCATTTTTTTTCAGCAACTAAATGGATAACATTTCAAATTCAATTTTTTAAAGCTGAAAATTTCTGCCAAATATTTTCAAGACAGGAGACTTACAGTTTTTCAAAAAAATTGCAGAAAATACATCTTCTTATCCCACCTGCTACAATTTTAAATACTCCTGGCATCTCAGTAAATGTTAGCTATCTTTACGATCCCACTATTCACATGGCTGATATATTCACCATAATAACATTAAGCAGGGGGGATGTTCTCCATAACAACTATGGGGGAAAAAAATCTTGAATCTAATAAATAATGTTTATGTATATATTAGGGATTATGGTCCTTTCTCTCTGCAGTGAAAGCAAATAATAGAGAAAACTCTGTAGAACACTAGAATTATTTAAGGCAAATTTATGTCATTAAGATCCTCTTGGCTTGAAGCATTAATGAATGTGAGCTTTAATTTACTAGATCTTAGGACATAATATATGATAAGCACAGAGGCCACTGGTACCCTTTTTAGTAAGAATGTCAGTATTTTATACTGCCACTTAGGTTACAGATCTTACAGTGTTTTGAGATGCATAAGCTCAGGTACAGTCCTGTCTATAGCGCAAACAATAAGATGAGGATCAGGACGAGTGCCAGTGTTAATGTAATGCCCCTGAGTATCCAGCATCAGATTTTACCTTGCCTCAAGGTGAGGCAGTGCTCTTCATTACTTTGCAGACCTGATGCAGATCTGCCTGCCAGCACTGGCATTATAAAGCTGGCTGGTGCCTCTTGCTGTCTATTCCAATGTTTTCATACTCTGTTCCGCACTGCCCACCTTACACAATGCTGGCGCAGGTGCTCGACAGTTAAAAGTCATGGCAGTTACACCAGAGAGAGGATGAAATACCACAAACAGGCTGTTCACAGGCAGCATGATAAAAAGGGAGGCAGCAAACAGCAGAATGGCAGGTGTTTGCACTGCTGTTTTGAAGACAGTGCAGCTATATATAGTGTGTGAATATAGATCTTTTTACTAATTGGAGCCTAACTCTGCTCTTTTCCTGAGAAGTTTCTCCAGTGGAAGTAATTCCTCTCATTCAAACTAAATAATGTAAATATCAACTCATGGAAAAAAGGATGCCATAAGTATTTTTAACTTTTTCTTCTTGCTATTTACTCCTTAGCAACATGTCTTTTTAATGATAGATTTAATTTTTAAATAATAACTTATAGCCAAGGATCTTGAGACCTTTCCAATACTGAATTATCTCTAGTTTACATACTGACAAACTGAGGCAAAATTCAGCTCACCCAGGGTTACAGAGCACATCACAGCCTGGCCTGATTCATAAGGTAAAGACTCAAGTCCTGCTAAAATCTACATCTGTGCTTCATTTCATGCTCTGAGTCACTCGGCTGGCCTTGGTGTAAAGCACCTAAGTAAATGTTTGAAAGATGGAAGCCTGTTGTTGACTCTGCACAGGCGAGGCTACAGCCTTGCAAAGCTAAATACAACTTCTGAGCCTAACCAGGGCCACACCTTGAGCCTCCAGCCCAGGCCACCCACAGTTAAAAGTAAGTGAAATTATCAGAGACACTGCGTTTCTACCCAAGATATGGGCAGGGCAGAACTCCTGATTGAAATTTTAAATTTACTAGATGAGTAAAGGTCATGAATGACTGTTACTTGTAAGAGAAACTAAATTCTTGATAGACTTCTCATGACAATGTTCTCTAAAAAAAAG